AGATAGACAGACAGAGCAGGTGAGCACCAGAAACATGCTGACCCCCAGAAGACAGAGGATCTCAGGACAGAAATATGTCCAGCCACGCAGGAGAATGGAGCTTGGGGGCCAGAGGCCGGTTTGTGGACACAAGTAGGGATTTTAACGTGTACTGGGCAGCGCTGGGGAGCCACTGAGGGGCTCAATCAGCGTGCAGAGTGTCAGATCTAGGGTAGATGGAATGGAGGAGGGAGAGGAAGAGCCCAGGGACCCTAGTGCACTGCGATGGTCAGTGGGGCTCTTCATGGTTTGGGTGGGGGTGAAAGAGGCCGGGGAGGTGGCCTGTGTTTCAAAGTGAAGGTGGGCTTGTGGGCCCAGGTAGGAGGGGCCCCTAGCCTATGCCCAGGGGGAACACAGAGGACAGGGCGGGAGGAAAGGCAAGCAGGTGTGAGGGGCCTCAGAGCACGTCCAGCAGCAAGGGGGAAAGGCAGCCCCCTGACATAGTAATGACAGTCCGGTGTTGGCCCCCAGAAAGAGCAGTAAGCCTGACCAAGACAGACGCTGCTGTTCAGGACATGGGGAGTCAGGAGGCTGCGTGCAGGAAGGGTGAGGTGGAGACGACCAGCAGGGGTCTCAGAAAGTAGGGAAGAAGATACAGGGAGCAGAAAGCCAGGCAAAGGCAGTTCGAAACTCCATCCCGACGGGGAGACCAGGACGCACAGCGCCTCATGGTCCTCGGGGCGAGGTGGCCTGGGTCCCTCGGGGGTGGGGGGCCCGGGCTCTCGGGGCTGCTGGGCTGAGCTGCTCCGGGCCCGTCCCGCTTCGTTGCTCCCCACCCTTCGCCAGCCGGGCCTCATTACCGCCCCTCCCCCGTCCCGGGCCCGGGGTCCCGCGGCGGGGGAGGGGCGGCATAATCAATCCCAGGCCGGAAATTCTCCCGAGGGGCCCGGCCGCCGAGCAGCCTGTACACCCGCCCGCGCCCCTCAGCGAGCCCGCCCCCCCATCATGGAAACTGGCGGCCCGCCCAGCCTGGCCTCTCCGCATTCCTTCTACTGCGCCCGAGGCCGCCCCCCGTCGGGCTGTCGCTGGGTCGCCGCTTCCTCCTCGTGGGGCGAGCAGGACTTCGCGAACACGGCGACACTGGCTTGATCCAGTCTGGGCTCCGAGCGCCCGGCCGTCCAGCGTCCTCGCCGGCGTGTGCTGCTCGTCCGGGGTCCGCGGTGCCACGCTGCGCCCCGGGGGCCGCTGCCCTCGGGGCTCGTTTCTCGCCCGCGAGCCGCTGGAGGACGGGCCAGACGGCGTGGCCAGC